CTTGCCTTCATTTCTGGTGTGTCTTTTGCTCCTCCTCTATTCTCTTTCCTCGGCGCACCCTGGTCAAAGACGGCTTGGGCTATGCCTGACACTCTGTCCTTCTTCACTCCTGAAAGGAAAAAAAAAGGAACATTCTTAAGATTAAATTATTAATATAGCTTGAACGTGCTTTAGCTTTTCAATTAAAGAGGAAAAAGAAGACGTAAACCAACTGGGAGCAACAAAGGTACTCAGTCTTGTTCATGATCCATTAAGAAGGACTAGATGTAACATGACTGGGAGAGTTGGCCAAATGTACTTGACTTTTTAAGGCAGGAAAGCGTTAAGTAAATCAAATCCATTGGCTCTAACCAAATTATCTCAGAACTCTGTAACACCTGGGTTCCGATATAACGTAAAAATAAAACCTAGTGGTCCGTTTTGATTCAAATACGAAGAAGTTAACTTCACATCCCTTGCTTGTATTTGTAAACTACACACAACAACATAAGTTTCTGCACTTTGGGTGTCTTTCATTCATGTAAATATTTTGTGACGAGTGATCAGTAGAATGATTGGATTATAATAGTGATCATTAATAAATCGTTCATTGATGACTAGACCTAGATCTACCCTGGCATTGAAAACCATTTATTCAGAACTTTGTTAAATTTACAAGATTGCAGACTTAGTTTAATAATTTACGGAACTGTAAATTTCTTCCGACTCACCTACAGCTGATAGGAACGTTGGTTTGCAGACCTGCACCAAAGGAGCTCCATCGACATCAAAATTTTGCAGATGAAACTTCACAGAGAGCTCTCTAGATTTTTGTCTGGCTCCAACAGCAACCCTAGGCCTCTTTGCCTTTGCATTATCCAAAAGGTGTGAAATAATCACGTCTTGTTCGTACTTTACTGTTGTCGCGTACAAATTATTATATACAGTCAAACCTGGCCTGACGACCACCTCTATAAGACGGTCACCTGTACAAACGGCCACTTTCCATTTCCCCCTAGCGTTTTTTCTATATAATTTAACTGTGTAAAACGGGCACCTGTCCAACGCGGCCGCGGCCACCATATTTTAACACACAACCCTTATCACACAAAGCAAAAACACCTGTCTTAGACGGCCACCTTAGTCATGACTCCATTACATTTTGTCATAAATTGTGCATTGGCCCCTGGCGTTGTGGGCTAGCCGTCATAATTCAATCACCTGTCGTTGTTGTTAGGTAGTCCCTCCAACCGATCATGTTGCGTAGGCCCATCCCACTGTTGACCTATAGTCTAGCTACCAAATTTTAGCTGATGGTGAGGTTAGCGTGTGATCCCTCATAACCCATAAGCCCCGCCCAGAACTCATACTCATACACAAATCGTAAGTGAGATGAGTGGTCACTGTTTACCCAGTCTGTAACAAAGTAACAATGGGCGTCAACATGAACTTGTGACAGAAGCGTCGCTCGTTCTTCGAGTGGTGGCGACCCATGTGTTTGTTTTAACATGGCACTCGGTTTTCCTCGTTTGATACATTTCATTTTATTGTCACCCTTGTGCAAAATCAGCAACAAAATAAAAATTACAAACAAGAAACTAACCAACAACAACAACAAAAACAACAATGCGGCTACTTTTGATTGAGACCTCAGATGGGAATGGTTTGTTTTCTTTATCTTGATCAGTCCTGCCTAAGACGGCCACTTTTCTCCTTGACAATGGGTGGCCGTCTTACACAGGTTTGACTGTATATACATATGTGTGTGTGTGTGTATTTTATTATGTATACTAAGAGACTGAGCAGAGGCTTACAATGTAAATTCTGTGCTCTACATATAGAGAAAATTTTAAGTTTGCGCAAAACAGATTTTTGAAAAAAAAGTTGGATCTAATTATTCTAATTAGATTGTTATGCTGAGATTTGTTACTATTAACTCTGGAAATACAGTTAGTTGCTGAATCTAAAAGTAACCAGAACTGTGCAATTCGTTTTATTTCAATTCCAAAGCCCAAAGGCATAGCAATAAGTTAGATCTAGATCTAGCAGTTGTAGGCACTCTGGCTTCATCTAGCATAGGCCTGCTACTACTGATTCTAAACAGGGAATCTAGATCTAGCTATCGCCTGCACTATTAAAGTCAAATACAGTCAAACCTGTGTAAGACGGCCACTCATTGTCAAGGAGAAAAGTGGCCGCATAAGACAGGTGGCCGTCTTAGGCAGGACTGATCAAGATAAAGAAAACAAACCATTCCCATCTGAGGCCCCAATCGAAAGTAGCCCCATTGTTGTTGTCTTTGTTGGTGTTGTTGCTGTTGGTTTGTATTTCGTTTGTAATTTTTATTTTGTCGCTGATTTTGCACAATGGTGACAATAAAACGAAATGTATCAGACGAGGAAGACCGAGTGCCATGTTAAAACAAACACATGGGTCGCCACCACTTGGAGAACGAGGGACGCTTCTGTAACAAGTTCATGTTGACGTCCTTTGTTACTTTGTTACAGACTGGGTAAAAAGTAACCACTCATCTCACTTACGATTTGTTTATGAGTTCTGGGCGGGGCTTATGGGTTATGAGGGATCACACGCTAACTCACCTGCAGCTGAAAATTGGTAGCCATTGGTCAACAGTGGGAGGGGCCTATGCAACATGATCGGTTGGAGGGACTACCTAACAACAACGACAGGTGATTGAATTATGACGGCTCGCCCACAACGCCAGGGGCCAATGCACAATTTATGACAAAACGTAATGGATTCACTAAGGTGACCGTCTTAGACAGGTATTATTGCTTAGTATTATAGGGGTTGTGTGTTAAATTTTTGTGGCCGCGGCCGCGTTAGACAGGTGCCCGTTTTACACAGTTAAATTATATAGAAAAAACGCAAGGGGGGAAATGGAAAGTGGCCGTTTGTACAGGTGGCCGTCTTATAGAGGTGGCCGTCAGGGCAGGTTCGACTGTATATGGTAAAATAAAAATAAAACTGAATTTTTTGTCAGTCAGTACATCCCAATTGCCATAGCCGCACGTATTAATAGTTGAATAATGCGATACCGAAGCAACACGTTATCACAGTGTGCAGGGGAGAGTGGGGTGCCCGGGTCGCTGACCGGTCGATTCGTAGATGGCCACCTCTATTCTCACCCGGGGTGAGAATAGTGCAGGCGAGTCTTTTGGCTATTCTCACCCGGTGCGCGTTCACCGTTATAGCCTAGATCTAGGCCAACAAATTTTGCGTTAACCCTAGACCACAGAATTCTACACTGTGATAACAGAAAAATTGTAGAATTCTGTGCCGTGAACAAACGTTCCATTACAACTGTAGCCTACTAAAAGCGTACAATTTTGTCTGTGGGCAGTGGAGAGAGAGAAAGAGAGAGAGAGAGAGGAGTAGCGCGAGAACTTCCGGTCAAAACAAAATGGCGACCCGCGTAGTTCGGCTCGATTCGAAAAGTTAAATAGCCGTAGCATCTTTGTAGACAACCAAATTAATTTACTTTTGTGTTTTAACATCATTTTTTAACTTTGTTTTGGTCAATTTGATCGTCCACACCGATAGACAGTATTCAGAAAGAGACAGAGAGAGAGAGAGGGGAGGAGAAGATCTTGCGAAAACTTCCGGGCAAAACAAAATGGCGACCCGCGTAGTTCGGCTCGATTCGAACAGTGAAATAGCCATAGCATCTTTGAAGACGATCAAATTAGCTTACTTTTGTGCTATAACGTAATTTTTTCTTGGCTTTTATCAATTTGATCATCCACACCGATAGACAGTATTCCAAAATGAGGAAAAGCAGGTCTTGTTTCGCACCGGGTGAGAATAGCCTACGCTGGCAAGTCTCACCCGGGGTGAGAGGTAGATCGTTTTTCTATTCTCACCCCGGATGAGAATAGCCACTTCCTTTGTAGATCTATGCATTTTTTACGGAAAGCCCTATTACTAGATCTATTAGTGTTGTGAAAACTTCAACCTCTACAGCTCAGGCGTCAAAAGATGCTGGAAAATAATAATACGTCCTGAAGTTTCATAATTTATACAGAATAACACAGTACACAGCCAGTAGTTTTTATTTCATCAAGTTATAAAAATGGCCTTCGTATAAAAATTGCCAGGTTTTCATAAACAAATTTTAATAGTTCTAGTTCTACCGAATCGATTTTCACGCGAACTCAACCATTTTGATGATCTTTCTTTTCCTTTTAAAAAGATGTAGATCTAGGCCTGTCGGATGTGGCAGTGCGATTAACACTGAGTTGTTTAGATCTAGACAGATCTAGATCTAGACCCATCAAAACACGAGGCTTCGTGGCCGATCACAAAAGTCTACGGAGCTTATTGAGGCCGATTCGCCCTGCCGAGAGCACGTTCACTAAACTGCCTACTAGATAGAATCTACTACCAAAGATTCTCTAAACGATCTTTGCTACTACTACTACTACTAGGCCTACTACATGTACTATTACGAGACAGTACGAGAGAGTGTCACTCAGGCAAAGATAGTGTAACTTTGACTCAGCCACGTAGTGTACACACTTTTTATACCCCAAATTTAACCCGGAAGTCCATTCGGAGAATTTGACCTTTTCACTTGACCAAAGTGTGCCAAAATGGTAGCCTAGCTTTTGCCCCTCCATGAAGGAAAAATCTGGCCCTCATTCAAACCATTGGGATTGAGCAAAATTTTGCGTATTGTGCTTTGTTCTTTACAATATTCATTATGATTATGATTATGATTTATAAGTTGTACACTGAGACAAAACCGTACTAAATGAGAAAGGTGTACCATTATGAAAGTGGAACGAACTCATTTGCCTGAAAAGGGTAGTTTGAGCATGTGTGGTCTAAATAAGCTAAACCCCCCTCCCTTACCTTATTTAGGCCATATGTGGCCTAAATAAGCACTCCCCAAAAAAAGATGCAAAGGGAAGAAATAGGAAGTGGTCAGTTGTACAGGTGGCCATTAGAGCAGGTTCCACCGCACACAGTCCAAACCAAGCCAGAGAACCAGAACTCACCACAACAGCAAGAGAGAACGTGACCGCCAGCTGTTTGAGCCTGAGACCAATCTCTGAGAGGTAGCCCTGGGCTGAGGGAAAAATGGTCAGTAAAGTTTTACTTTTACTCCCACATGCAGATACACTGCTTCAAACTTCAAGGGACAAAACTGTTGTATTTTGGGCTGCAGAACACACATATAGCCACTAAAAACCATCGCAAGTCAATTATTATGGGGAAAGTAAAATAATACCCCGCCATCGGCCGGGACAAAGAGAAACATCGTCAGCATTTAGTTTTAGTAAGCGTTTTACACGGCACTTGCAACAATAAGGACATATAAGTGCTGAATATTAGAAGTGTTGCAAGAGAGTAACAAACACAAAAAGGAGGAGAGATAAGGACAATAGACGTTTGAAGGAAAGAAGAAGCACTAGAGCACCCGCCTACCACCCACATTGTCAGCATCATTTAACACGAGCCAAAGTCATTTTTTGAGGAGTTGACACAAAAAAGAGCATCGAAATTAGAACCCTGACTTGAACACTCACTATCTTTCGATTACAATAATAATAATAATAGTAGTAGTAGTAGTGGTAATAATACTAAATATATAGAATGTATAATTTTAATTAAGAACTAGGAAGGAAATAACCAGACAAAATACAACTATTCAGTAAGATGTCACTTGAACTTGAAGCCATTTTCAAATAACAGTTTGTAGCGAAAACCCTGAAACTTGAAACTGACTTGGGTGGCTGCGGAAAGACACTGACGAAATACCAAACCACAAGAGACAGCTATATGGGAAGGTCAAAGAAAGTCATGAAAATTCTTTCAGGGACACTCAATAAATGTGCAAATTAACAAAAACAAATTTTTTAAAAGAGAAAAGAAACAAACTACATTACAGTGAAAAAGGTCAAAATTATCAGAAAACTTTCAAGGTAGGTCTACAGTTAAAATTGTCAAAGAAGGTCACCAAGTGTCAAGGGGTTAAGAGGTTGTTCTACACAGGTGGACGCCTTGGACAATGTCATTATAAGTTCTAAAAAATGCAAAGTGTGAAATGGGAAGTAATCATGTATGGTGATTGTCTTGACAATGACAAGGTTTGAATGTATCTAAAAATTTCGCTTTGGGGAATTTTCTGGTCTGTCACTTCTATTCAAAAGTGCCCCAGCTCTATATATATATATATATACCGTAAAAATTGACCAAGACGGCCACCCATTGTCGAAGAGAAAAGCAGTTGTCCTAGAGAGAGGTGGATGCCTTGGACAGTGTTCTTACAAAATAGAAAAAAGAAACAAACAAAGAACAAAGTGGGAAGTGAACAATTGACTGGACGAATAGTGAATGTTCGAATGTCTCGGACAGGTGGCTGTTAAAAGTGTATTCTACTTTTACCCAAGGACGAGTGTTGTGATGTAAATTTACACAGAAAAATCCTCCACCAAGCCTACCTTGCTGCACGCCTCCTGCCACAGAGTATATAACAGGCACTAAACTGTCCACAATAATGAGCTTTAAGTCCCTTGTATCACTGGAACCCTGAAGGGGGGAAAATAAAAAGAAACTTAAAACTCTTTCACTTTCAGTTCATTTGTCAACAAATTTTAACATTTTTTGTTGTTGTAGAAATGATTTTAGTTTTAGTAAGAGTTTTATGACACTTGCAACCCAATAAGGTCATATAAGTGCCGAAGACTAGAGGAGTTACAAGAGAGTAACAAGCATAAGGAGCAAACCACACCAGAGCACCCGCCAACAACCCACATGTATTGAAATGATACTTTTTCAGCTGACAAAAAAGTAAAATAAGCACATCTAAACTCGCCCAAAAAAGTCAAGGAACAACTTGAGTTTTCACCTGTCAAATTTAAACTTCAATATCTCACAAACCCGTTAAGATCAGTCAACCAAACTTGGCACACGCACTGACGACTAGACACAGTTTGCCTGTACAGCAAATTTGCCTGCATCAGCCTCACAGCGACGGTGCAGAGCATTCTGAAACACAGCCGAAAAGCATAAAAAATGGGCCTAATTTCTTTACTTCAGCAACATTGGCATTGGGACTGTTAGCTAAAACTAAGCTTGGCAGGTGCTAAACAGATGTCTTAGCTGTGAATATTGCTCATTTACAACCCTTTATAAGCCAGCGTTTTTCAGCCATGTTTCATTGCAACACGATGGTCCAACGACGTTCCCTGCCTGATGTTGACAGAGGATGAGCCCTTGCCTGACTCCAAGATGGCTTCACATTTCGAGTCTTTGCACGTCGACTTAGGTTGTCTCCATCAGTCATATAGAGGCTGCAAGAATGATGGCGAGTGACCGGAAGGGTCCAGGAGAGGCCTCAACCAGGGCCGCCCCGTTTGACCAAGGACAGCATCGACCGGTTCATCGTCAGACAGCCGGGACGTCACAAACCACCTCTGCAAACGGCATCAGGGACCAACTACGGGTGACAGCCAATGTCCACGAGAGTGAGGAGACGGTAAGGAACCATATCCGTAGAGCCAGGTTCGCTTCTCGTGGTCCCTGCCAGGCGCCCAAGGCACATTCCGCCCCACAAAGCAGTGGACAAAATGTCAGTGGGTCCAGGTAGTCTTCTCGGATGAATCCAGATTCAACCTGCTGCACCCAGACAGGCGAGCCTACGTCTGGAGGCACCGAGGAGAGCTATTCCACCCTGAATGCATCCAGCAGGTGGCGCCTTATGCTGGATGGTCCGTTCTGGTGCGGGGAGGCTTCTCAGCTCATCACAGGACCCCCTGTACCATATACAGGGCAATTTGACCGAGACAAGGAACCGGGAGGAAATCCTGCATCCCCTTGCTTATCCTCTACTGCAGTAGATTAGACCCCAGGCTGTACTGCGGGATGACAACGCCTCGCCACATCGCGCACGCATCGTGGGGGACTTCCTGCAGCAACGAGCTGTCACCCACATGGACTGACCAGCTTGTAGTCCGGATTTGAACCCAATAGAGAACGACATTTGGGATCACATTGACCGGTGGATAAGGGACAACCACCCTCCTACACAAAAACTTCAACAACTCTTGAGCTGCCTCGTCCATAAGTGGCAGAACCTACCGCAACAAGTTCTCTGAAGACATTTCCTGTCCATGCGTCGACGCTATACCGAGTGTTTGTTTAAACGGAGTGGTTTCACCCACTATTGACAATGCTCATGAAGAACCATGGCTGTTCAGACTTTTGAAATCAGACCAGTAAGACTTAAACTCATTTTACATGAACTTCTCGTAGTTGTTGAAATCTGAAATTGTACAAATTTAATCTAGAGCAGTGGTTTTCAAAGTGGGCGCTACCGCCCCCCTGGGGGGCAGTGGCGACAGTTTGGGGGGCGCTGTGGCAAAATTGGACGATTGGGGGGCGCTAGTGGGCGTTAAGGGGGCGGTGGGAAATTTTCATGAAATGCACAAAAATAAATAAATTTTTTAAAATGGTGAAGGGAAAGAAGCCACATAAACAAAACCCAAAACAAAAACTGATACATGTAACAGTTAAAGAAATAAAGAAATGATTTAGCTTAGGCATAGTTTACAATACTGCTTACTATCAGAGAGCCTGTATTACTACTAAGAACGTTCGTTCCCTGCACGCAAAGCCCATATAAAGAAGATTCATTCCGCCAAATCTGACCTAGATCTGGCATACTTCAAAACTCTAAAGATCAATTTTCAGAAACGATAACCAGGTAAATTGATTTTTTCAACCAACTTCGATCAAACTGATGAAGACTTACGAGCAACATAATTTATCTTTGCTAATTGCTAAAACAGGCAAACCCCAAACTATCAGAGAGGACCTCATATGGCCTGCGATAAGAGAGGTGGTCAGCACAGTCCTGCACCGTGCCCTAGAGCCTGTGGTGAAAATTCTCCTACTAAGTGACAATACCGTTCAAAGACGTATGGATGAGATGTCAGCAAATGTTGAGGAACCATTGTGCAAAATGCGTAAAGGACGTGAGTTCCGTCTTCATAGAGGGTGAGGAAATAATGCAACAATTGTTATTTGTGAAAATGTTGGAAATAGATACCAGAAGCGAGTCCATTTTCAAAGTGGTCCAAGAATTTTTCGAGGAGAAACATATACCTCTGACCAATATAGTTGACTGTACAATATGGGCACCGTCGATGACAGGTCAGTACCGTGGATTTATGAGCTTCTTAAAAATATCAGTCCATGGAGTACTTACTGTTCACTGTCCCTTTCACATACAGCATTTGGTAACAAAAAACCTGAGTGATAGTCTGCATGACACACTGGCCATTGTCATCAAGTGTGTGAACAAGATCAAAGCCTATGCTTTGAATTCGAAATTATTCCAACAGCTGTGCCCTGAAAATGACGAAGACTTTCAATGCTAACTTTTGCACACTGGAATCCGGTGGCTCTCAAATGGAAACTGTTAAACACGATTGTTCTGCCTGTATGACTCCGTGCTGGAGATTTTTTCCCAAGAAACAGACAGTGATCTCTGTAATAAACTGAAAGAACACAATAACAACATTGTGTTCATCACAGATCTTTTCACAAAGTTCAACAAGGTCGATTTGCAGCTGCATGGGGATGACACCAACCTGATCAAGGCAAAATCCATGTTTCGTCATTCTTGTCGAAATTGGAAATATTCCGCCGAAACATTAGAAGAAGAGAATTTGCTCAGTTTTCTAGCTTGACGAAGACATTGAAAGAAGGGCGGGTGTCTGACGAGGAATTAGAAATATAATATGTCAAACACCTCAGAGATTTGCATGCTGATATGAAGACAAGGTTTACTGATATTTTTTAATTGGAAATTCCAGACTGGGTACTGGACCAATTCAACACTGAAAAAGATGGTAACTTGCTAGTAACAGCTTGAGAAGAGCTTCTGACGTTGAAATGTGATTTTGAAATCAAACCATTGTTCAAAAAGTCGTACCAGTCATTCTGGTTGAGAACTGTTGTGCAAGACCCTCCCTGTGGTAAAAGATCAAGTTGTTGTTCACCGCTTTTCCCACCTCCTTTATACTAGAAAGGAGATTCTGTGCAGTGACAAGGTTGCTGAAGAAGCAGAGGAACAAACTAAGGATCACAGAGCGTGGCGACTTGCGTCTGCTACTGACCAATCTGAAACCTGATGTTGATAAGTTGGTTTCGTCTCACCATGATGTCCATCCTGCCCATTAGGTGCAGTGTCAATGACTTATTTCTTTATTCTAACTCCATAGTTTACCCTTACTTGATACCTCAATGTGTATTTTCAGTTGAGTTTTTCTTTCCTTTCCTTAAGAGGGGGGGGGGGGGCTACACCCCCAAAAAGTCCAAATTCGGCTCAAAATTATGGAATTTGAGCTGTAGGCATTTTTAGCTTCCTCAGCCTCTCCTACAACTATTTCATTAGATAAGAACCCCCCAAAACAGCATTTTTTCCCATACCGGGCATGTTTGTCACCACATTACCTCATAAAGTCAGTATTTTATTTTTCTTAAACGTTTCATAAAGATTATGTCAATCTGTTTTCAAACCAATGATCACTGATTTATTTGTGTTTTGCTTAGAATATGGGATAATACATGTATTATTTTTATTGATGTTAATGACACTGGTCGTTTAATACCGACGACAACTATAATATGCATAAAATGAAAGCATTGTGTTCTCAAAGCCCTTGGATAGTATTGAAGAAAAAATTTGATTTTCGTACACGCTTAATATAAGATTCTATAAAGATGGTGATTTGTGACCCTACTAATGTTTCTGTTCAGAACCAAATCATTAGAATATAGGCAAGTTGTTTTGTACCCTGCTTTTTGAGCTCTCTAATTATTTGTGATTGTTATAGATCTATGCATGTCGCTATGTCAGGTTGATGGTTAGGGCAGAGTGGGGGCGCTGGGACTTGGCTGGGTGACAAAGGGGGCGGTGGGCGAAAAAAGTTTGAAAACCACTGATCTAGAGAGTCAAAAGCATCTTTTTTGAAAAAATGAATAAATTCGGTTAAAATATTCTTCAGTTATTTTTCTTTGAATTTTTGTTCCTTGACTTTTTTGTGCGAGTTTATTAAGAGCTGTTTTTAAAAACAGTTTGTCACCTCTACAGCATCTCTCAGATTTGTACATTGGTATTTTGACAGAACAGAATCCTGCTGAAAATGCATCCAAGCCCGGACACGCATGCACACAGACATACGCCTTTCAACCATAGATGGTGTGACCCTTAATTTCTCATAGGACAGCTTGTGAATGCTGCGTTGTGTATCAGTGACCAAAAGCGATACCATTTTTGGGACGGTGAAGGACTGACATTGACAATACTCACAAGAAGTTAAAAAAAGGAAATCATGTATTCTTCCAAAAAACAGCACACAATAATGCAGAACCATCATCACTCAAAACAAACAAAATATTATAATTGAAAAATATGAAATGCAGGTTTAGAAATAGGAGCCTGGCTCTGATTAATCAAAGAACATAGAACCGACACTTTAGGTGATCAAATGAAATTGTCACCTCAACATTCATTCGTTAAAGGACAACAATTTACAAAGTTTTTTCTGAAAATGCTTTAAATTGGCCATGCCTAGAATGGCGTATTAGTCCTTCTTCATCAGTGTCTTCGTCTTCCTTTTAAAAGCAAATAAAAATCAAAGAAGCTAAAAAAAAGAGCAGTAGTCTTATCCACACATCATAGAAATTCCTCGTTTGAGCTCAAACTAAAATAATCTTGCAAAGAAAATAAAGGCGTTCAAGGAATCAAGCACAAGACACTACAACATTTTTTTAATCAACTATTGAAACCGCAAGACACTAGATAAGTTCAGAAACTCACATAAAGATTGTTTTAAAAGCCTCAACAAGCAATTGTATGGAGATTTTTCAAACAATGTATTTGTGATTTTTAGAAATACTTTGGTACCTCTGCCAGTTTGGAGGCTAAATCCTTCAGCACAGCAAACAGCTCCCACACATCAAAGGCTTGTACAGATCTCATTTTCTTAAGGCAGGAATGGAGGGTTTGCTCATCCTGCAATATAATATAAACAGTCTAGCAAGCACATTGCAGACAGATTCTAAATCACAAAATTCTCCTTACATATTCTTAGTATTCAAAACATGCACATCGCGTAAGTAAACAATTCATGATTGGTGAAAAAAATTGGTTTCACCAAGGGTAGTTCTTATTAAAGGAGACGGCAAATTTCATTTACCGAAGGAGCCATCAGTGAACAATAGTGTATGATATCTCTAAGTTTAAACTCATTAAGTACATGACATGCATGGATATAAAAATGTCTCATCCAAAATTTTTGGGCAACACTTTTAATCTCTGTTGCACACAAAAAATATTCCAAAAGGAATGAATTATATGGAAGTTCTGGAAAAGTAGGGCTTCTCAAAAACCTGCAACTAACCGGGCAAGTGTCGGTATGAGTCTTCAGTAGACACTCGGCAATGCTCTGTGGGCTGAGTGAGCAGACAGTGTCGATATAAAGGACGGATTGCCCATCCGTGCTGATCGTAGTCGCACTAGCAGCATGACAGATCTGTGAAGATGTAAAGCTGTAAATGGAGACAGCAGGGGGAAAATAGCAGAGTGACATTCATTTTAATTGTTATGAGTTATACCCCACATTGCAGTTCAATATTACTTAACATTTTAGAGGGAGAAAAAAGGCAGGGTCCATGTAAAACTGAGCAATGAAAAATTTGCATCCTTCTTAAAGGCATGTGATTCCTTTCTTTGAAAGTCAGATGTCTTGAAATCATCATGTTATGCCATCTTCTAATGTTTTGAGCTCCCCTCATGGCGGACCGGCAGTGGAATTTTAGTTGCAGCAACGGGTTCCCCACCGAGCGCCTTTTCATGGGGGTCAGCGGATCCCTGTCGCCGCTCTGTCTGGGCTGACTTAATTTTTGGTACTTTCCAACGTGCAGTTTTAGGTATAACCTTGTACTTATGGTAATTATCACTTAATGCACCCAAAGCACGCATTTCTGCTCTTGAGACTCAAAAAAGAATGGACACTGTAACTTGTCTGGATATTTTGTTAGACACGCTGAGGCCTGCAATGCTAAATTGTAGCATTTTTTTAACAAGTATGAATGAAAAAAATCAATATAAAAAAAACGGCTCGACAAAAACAGTCGAACTTTTGGAACATGAATGACATAAAATTGGTGCAGATACTCAGAAAAGATGGTATGCGCATATAATAGAAAGCCTTAATTTTGCAACTTTATCCATCAGGCACACAATTCGCTATGAAGTAATTCCTCCAATACAACTTTATATGCCTAATATAATTGTGAATATTTGCATATTTTCTCGAAAGTTTATAAAAATTACCCTGTAGTATCTCTATGAAGAAGTAGAAATTGATTTTAGTGCCAGAATACATCTACAATGTAATACACGAACAGTAACTGTTACACTCCCGAAATTCCTTACTTTTCTTAAAAGGCTAAGTCTAGGTTTTGTAAGTTGACTGAATAACAGGGATGACTTCTCGTAATTGGGTTATAAGAATAATTTCTAGCTTTCCAGGGACACTGAATCAGCACCAGACTTTTCCAGCTTTTTTTACGTTTCTATGACCATTTGCAATAACTGACAATGTGACTGATTTCTTTACATTCATAATTGTGTCCGCGCATATTTCTCTCACAAAAAGCAAGAATGATTGTGTTAGCTGTGATTATTTTTATTCCATACAAAAAGTTTATTTCTTCCCAAGTTTTTACACAGTTTTGTGTATTTAAAATCGCATAAAATATATCGATCTTTCCAAGTTGTATGCATGCTGCCACAGACACAGCATGATTCATGAACAAACAAAAGCAGAGTAACTTTCTCTTGTTTAATGGTAAAACAAGACTGAGTGTTTTTGTCAAATTCTTCTCTTATAACTCTCTTATAAATTGATTATTAGAACTTGCGCAGATTTAAAATTTCTCATGGTAAAAGACATGATATTCGTAGTCAGTTTAACACAGATTTTGGAGAGATCTGTCATGCCGTTTTTAAATAAACAATCATTTATTCATAAATATGTAACTAAAATAGGACAAATTGGGTACTCTACAAACACTTGTCGAGAGCAAAAAAAACTAAGGCACAACAATTAACCATTCCAATGCAAAATTCATCTCAAGACATTGAGACACCAGCAAAGTCGGTTCAGGGTTCATTAACCCCCTGACCCTGAGCCAGGGAGCTCCGGCGGGCTGTTGAGTCATGCTAACTAAAAATAACAGAATTGGGTGAAAAGTGACACCATGCCCTTGACATAATTTGATCATTTACCAGAAGTGTCAGTATCTACTTTGAAAAACTGAAAACACTGAAAAAAAACTAAATAATAAAATACTTTAAATCAAGCATGACAATTCAACTCTCTGCTCTCTCACTCTCTCCATCCAGTACATGCTGAAGTACAGAAAGTCCCACAAAAAACTTGCACATGCATCCACAAACACATTGATAACAACACACAATGTTACAGAACAACTTGAACAAAGAAAAAATTTATGCTGAAAAGACATATATATGTGAGGCAGAGTGGTGGAATCAGGCACTTATCAAAATTATGAAAATAAAGAAACTTACACTTTTCTGCTGGTTTGGCAATTTTTATCGAAATTGTGGGTTTTTTTAGCTCAACACCTTCTATGTCCATTTAAAAACCCATTTCAGAGTGAATTATATTGAAAAGCATTGATTAAAAGCATAAAAATATTTTAATTATCGGTTTCCAAAGACTCTGAAGCTTAGTAGATAATAACCAAACTTTGGCAGCCATTTTCTCACTAGTTTTACCTCTGAAACCAGGCGACCCATCTCATTCAAATTCAATCACAAATATCTAGACATTTCTCAAGATAGATGTGTAATTCTATCATCGAAAGCAAGGCAAATGAACATGCTTTAATGGTGATACAAAGAACTCCACATGCCCAAAAATTAACAAGCACCTGACTCCACCGCGTCATGACACATTTATGAGTATTGGAAATGTAGGTAATTATATTAAAGCTGATTTTCCATTTCAACACCGAAAAGAAAAAAAAGGACTTGTTCAAAATTACAGAGAGATATTAAGTTTAAAAAGAACAGCTTACAATACCGTAGTTTTACCAGCAGCACAATCCCCTGCAAATTCAGTGACCTCCCCTGTATATAAACCTCCATCCAACAAGTCGTCAAGCCTGTCAAAGAAAACAAAAAGTTCAAATAAAACGACTTTGAGCCACATGACCAACAAAATAAAATAGTTGACTATTCCAATGGTAAGTATGCTTCACACCCCCATTAGCACAGTTTAAATGAAAGAGGAGGCGGGCTGCAGCAGACGATGGAAATACTTGGAAAAACAGACTTCCCCTTGTGGGAGTAAAAATTCACGTCTTTAGAGTGCAGTGGAAAGACAAGAATTTTGCCACATACACTGGAATAATAAATTCAGACATTTATACCTTTATATGACTGTAAAACACAGCAAACCCCATAAAAGTGACAGCTTGTCAACCGAAAACAAAGTCATGTCAATACATTATTTCCACAGAACTAGACAAAATTTATTATGTGAACGTAACTGTATTTTTGTGCAGTTTTGCTGTGTTATGAAACAATTATCATGTTTACTGAGAGTGAAAAAAATTCCACACTTAAAGCCACATAGACAGAACAAGCTTCATAAGCAAACTTGTATTTTATTCTTCATCTGATCATTATAAAATTATTCATCAATAAGGTACAAATAAACATAAAAGAACAGATAGATCTAAAAGTATAAAAATAACATAGTCTAAGAATGTACTTTATTCCTATTTCTCTTTGTCCATACTATTCCTATTTTTTCTTAAATTTGACCAAAATAATATTTTTGCTCAAGAAGGGGGTTATATACATATGAAGGAAATGCTGTCATAGTTGAAAAAAAAAATAAGGTTGAGAAAACCAGGATGTCTACTTTCTTCATCCCACCAACAAGGCTGTATTTTAGCATAGCATGTCGTCCAAATTAGGAAGGGACAAACGCAATTTGTTTGTTTAGAATGGAGTTTTACGGCGCTCGCAACTGCATAAGGTCATATGAGCGCACGAAACACAAGTTAGTTTTATTCGAAACAGTTAACTATATGGCTAGACTCGGGTCAATAGTTAGATAGTTTGATCTTAAAAGTTAAAATATTTAAAATTCCGTGTAAATATATTTTTCAATCTAAAACAACTTTCCTAAATAACATAAAAAATTTTAATAATTAAATTTCACTCTATAATTTCCCATAAAGGCCAATGGCCTTCATAAAATCTAAAATTCTGTTGAGAACAACGACGGAAAACAGATCTTGCAATTTTTTGCATTTACAGTATTTCATTCGGGTCTCTCCGAAGTCTAGACATTCGGTTAAAATGTGTCTAATGGTAAAATCAGTGTCGCATACGGCTTCTCTTCTCCCTGAGGGAGGTATTTGTGTGTTTCTGAGACACATGGCTCAACATAAGAACTTCGCAACCTTGCTCTCAGTGGAAAGATTGAAGGCAAATGTGGTAGGGGCAGACTCAGAAAAAACATATTTGAAAAAGCATGACAGATGGGTGGCAGGGAAACACCAAAATATGTGGGATTTTTTAGAGTATCCAAGCAGAGAAAAGAATGGAGAATAATGATCATCAATGTCTGTCGCAGATCTAGCACAGGACGCTGCACAGTGCCGACCGACAGTGGCATGTTTGTAAACTATTTTGTATTTGTGTAGTATTGTATATATTCATTTGTGTATTTCTGCATGTATTTATGCTTGTACATATTCATAATTATGTTTTTATGTATGTAAATGTATGTTTGCCATTGTAAAACAAAGTGCCCTTTTGGGACAAATAAAAAGTGTAATTTATTATTATTATTATTATACTGATGAGGACTTTATTTGTTTGGTACTATCTAGCAACACAGCTAATCTTGGGCACTAACGAGACTTAACAGTTGCTTGCCAGTGCCGTAAAGCTCTTACTTAGGGCTCGTGTCCATTGGGACAGAAACGAACCGACCCAATTCCGTGCGTCTCTCCAAAAGTCAGTTTTTTTCTAAGAAATCAGTGAAAATTCCCTTTGGTTGTGTCAACAGACATGACACAACATGCCACGACAACAGGGCGAGTAGGTTGGAAAGCTGTTTGCAGCATTTTAGCCCAGCCGAGAGGTAACCCATCAGCCGTAGGGCCCGCCGGAGCTAAAAAAAACCCTCTAATTTTGATTTCGGATTCAAATTCTAAAGTCATATTCGTAATCAGTGCCTCAAAATTAGCAAAGTCTACGCGCAAACCACATGGTTTAAATGCATATTAGCAATTTTACCAATTTTCCTTTAAAACCCATACTTCTTTTTCCCGCCTTGGGTTAATGTGACTTATTGACTATTCATAACCCCATACCGAGAACACAGCTCGACACGACAGCTGTCTAGCATACACATCCGGGGAATAGGTAGGCCAACAGACTAGAGACTAGACGTGTCTTTTCCGAACTGTGTGGACACACAAGGTGGAAACGACCCGACCGATTTTCCTCCTCCCTCCAAAAAATTGGGTCATGTCTGTCCCAGTGGACACGAAGACTAAATGTAAACTGAAAGGACAATCAAGAGTAAAAACATTTTTGACTGTATCCTCAACTCAATGTACTTTTCTTCATACCTGTCATAGCCCGTGGACAAGGTGGCAAAAGTAGTCAAGGCACCATTGTATAACAACGCCGCTGACACAGGGTATGCAGCATGCTCAGCCAGAAGAACTCGCTGAATAGAACACAGGTCCTGCAAAGTCAAAACAAAAATAGCAATCTCCTGAAAAGTTGAAATATCCCCCCCCCCCCCTCCCCAATTAAAAATAAAAAATAAAAAATAGAGTATCAAAACAATGAGTCACTCTCCTCCCCTTTTCCAACTCTCTCAGAGTCCTTTTCTCAGCAAGCACATTTCTTTCTATAGAAGAATGTGCATGTTTGTGCATACACTGAAGAATGTTGTCAACACTATTTAAGATTTAAGAACAAACGCCAAAGAAGTGTAATTTCACACAAAAGGCCTTCAAAACAGATGGCAAAACTATCTTTAAGCAGAAAAACAAGACCACATACCGACCTTATAAATAGATAATAGTCAGACAAATAATAATACATTACAAGCACTGACAAAACACAATATAAAAAGTAACTACTCTTAAAATATTTTTTGGGAGACTGTTAGATGAATTTGTTCTTCGTATTTACACTATTAATTATACAGTCGAACCTGCCCTAACGGCTACCTCTATAAGACAGCCACTTTCCATTCCCCCCTTGCGTTTTTTCTACATAATCTAACTGTGTAAAACGGGCACTTGTCCAACGTGGCCGCGGCCACCATATTTTAATGCACAACCCCTATCACACTAAGCAATAACACCTGTCTTAGACGGCCACCTTCGTGACTCCATTACATTTTGTCATAAATTGTGCATTGGCCCCTGGCGTTGTGGGCGAGCCGTTATAAGTCAATCACCTGGCGTTGTTGTTAGATAGTCCCTCCATGCAACCGATCATGTTGTGTAGGCCCCTCCCACTGTTGACCAATAGGTACCAATTTTCAGCTGCTGGTGAGGTAAGCGTGTGATCCTTCATAACCCATAAGCCCCGCCCAGAACTCATACACAAATTGTCAAATTGTAAGTGAGATGAGTGGTCACTGTTTACCCAGTCTGTAACAAAGTAACAAATGACGTCAACATGAACTTGCGACAGAAGCGTAGCTCGTTCTTCGAGTGGTGGCAACCCATGTGTTTGTTTAAACATGGCACTCGGTCTTTCTCGTCTGATACATTTCATTTTATTGTCACCCTTGCGCAAAATCGGCAACAAAATAAAAATTACAAACAAAATACAACCAACAACAACCAACAACAACAACAAAAATGCGGCTACTTTCTATTGGGACCTCAGATGGGAATGGTTTGTTTTCTTCATCTTGATCAGTCCTACCTAAGACGGCCACCTGTGTTATAGGGCCACTTTTCTACTTGACAATGGTCTTTTACACAGGTTTGACTGTAATTTCCTTCATGATGCTATCATGTAGCAGAGCTGCACTTGACAGCTATTCATTACGACAACAGCTATATTTCATCAAGAACAGATTAGGAGGATAACAGTAAAGGTAAAAACAAAAGAAAAAAAGGAGAAGGTGAAACATTTGTGTGTCTTAACTTTTTACCTTAATTGTCTCACCTTGTAGGGTAAGTGAAGCCTCTGAGAGAGAAGTTCTGGGTCTTTGGAGATGAAATCAGTCACAGTTTTGATCGAGGCATCTTGTAACTTCTGCCATGTTTCTTGCGTAAGAGCTGTGCAAAGACCGGGCAAGAGAGCCATGGCATCGGCCTCTCTTTTCTTTTTAGGATATATTTATCTTGGATATTACGACTTTTTTCTTGACGAGAACAGTGAAAATGTACTCAGTTCATCAAAGCCCTTAAAGATTGTGTGTAGCCTGCAAGTAAAAGCAAATAATATTATAAAGCAACTCAATAAGTTATGAAAACTGAACCTGAAACTACTAATAAAATAACACGACACTGCCTCCTCACTGTTTTGTGTACTTTTTTATTTTCAATTTTTTGTACAGTTTTGCTACTCTACAAAACAATGATTGATCTTCATTGTCAAATAAAATATGTCAAATTGTATTTGTAACCCAAGGTTAGTTAACAGAGAAACAAAAGTGTTACAATTACAGCAAGAGTTTTAGTTTAGTTTAGAATGGGGTTTTAAGGCGCTTGCAACTGCATAAGGTCATATGAGCGCGCAAAACAAGTTGGTTTGTTTCTCAACAGCTCACTGCTCCGCTTGATTCTGGTCAAAACATCAAATCAAAATTGTTAAAATAACTTAAAACGCGAAAAATCGAGTGTAAACAGATTTTAAATTTAAAACAACTTCCTTAATATATATATATAACACTTAAAAATCCATTTTATAATTTTCCATAGAGGCCAATGGCCTTCATAAAATCCAAAATTCTGTTGGGAACAACGACGGAAAACAGATCTTGCCATTTTTTGCACCTAAAATATTTTTTTCGGGTCTCTCTGAAGTCTAGACATTCGGTTAAAATGTTTCTAATGGTAAAATCTGTGTCGCATCTGACACAGAACGGCTTCTCATCTCCCTGGAGGAGGTATTTAGGTGTCAGGGCCAGGTAATCGATTAAAAATGATAAGGTCTCTTCTATGTAGGAGCGTGTAGTTTGTAAGTGAGGTGATGCAAGACAGAGAATCAGAAAGGATAAGGAAAGATTTGTTTTCTACGGAGTCTAGTGCCATGTCAATGGCAGTGGCCTCCGCAGAGAAAATGGAGGCATCGTGATGAAGTCTCCTCTGGTGTGTACTGTTGGAAGATAGGGCTACGGCTGCGGCGCCCACATCATTGTCCTTTTTGGAGCCATCTGTGAAGATAAGCTCCGCACCGGGGTATTTTTCTATAAGTTTTTTGTATTCAGCTTTAAATGTTTTGGTGTTTGTGCTTCCTTTGTTGTGTGTGGTCAGCTGTAAGTCTACTTTTGCCTTGGTGAGGTGTCACGGAGGGAGGTTGGGGAAAAGAAATTGTTAGATGTCTTGTTTGGAAAAGTGTATGTTTTTGAGATCCTCAAGGATTCTGAGGCCGAAGGGTTTGACAAGTTTTTCGTTGTTTTGGAATTTGTTTATGGTGTCTGGGTTTGTTTTGAAAATGCAGTCGAGTGCTGGGTTCTCTGGTGTTGAGCTCTGTTTAATTGCGTATTGTAGTGAGAGTTGTGTGCGTCTGAGTGTGAGTGATGGTGTGTTCGCCTCGGCCAGGAGGCTCTCCACTGGAGATGTGCGGAAAGCCTCCAGAGCGAGGCAGAGTCCTTGGTTTTGCATTGAGTCTAGCATTTTTAGGATGTCTGGTTTTGCCGATACGTAGACTTGACAGCCGTAGTCAAGCCTGGATCGGACAAGGGAGATACATACAAGTGGAGAAGGTGTTTTGAGTCCCCGCCCCACAGCGGATGCGATAGAATTTTCAAAGCGTTTAATGCTTTCTGGCCCCTCACAAGGTCTTTGATGTGCGGTATGAATGTGAGTTTTTGTCTAATATAACGCTGAGGAAACGAGCCTGGTCCTGGACGGGAATCCTTTCCCCGTATAGTGTCAAATCCGGCTGCAGTACATGGCAGAAGTGTACTGCAACCGTCTTTGACGGGTAAAACTTGAAACCGCTATTGTTTGCCCACTTTTCTAGCATCTGCATTTGCCGCGGCTGCGATTTTTGGCATTTTTCAAAACAAAAAACAAGAAACAAAAAAACCCCGCAAAAAGCAAAAGCACCGCCGGGTAATACAAAATCTTTTTTTTTTTAAAAACGGGGAATGAATAAAATATAGAAAAAAACACAAAAGAAACCGAACCTCTCTATTTTAGAAAGAAAGTTGATTTTCATTTCGTCTCTTTCTCACTTGTTGACACCACCTTGATTTGCTATTTTCCTGTGAAGATAATAAGTACATTACGTAGTATTTTTTAATTTCTAGGTGTGTTCATTTTTTTTTTTTAATTGTTTTTTGTTATTGGTCTGATTTGATGTTTTTCTATTTTTTGTGTTTATATAGCATAATGTCTCAAGCATTATGTCAGAGCTTGTCTCCACCAAAACCGAAAAATGACACTGGCAGGTCCCTTGTGTGTGATTCCATAATTATAATATATGTAATATCCTGTACTTTTTCTTGAATTACACATGTTTAGAGTTGAAATGGCCAATCTTCGGACAGGTGGACACACGCCCTTATTTGTTAATTTTTGTGTTAGTTTATGTGCCTCTCTAATTGTGATTTCATTCTGTTGTGAAACCTGTATTTTTCCTGTTTTTACACACCGTGTGGCTACAAATGATATTCTGGATGCTTAAAACAGAGCACAAGAAATTATGGTGCTTTAGATTAAGTTATCTTTATCAACATATTGCTAAACGTCGTCACAGCGAGTTGAAAGCTTGAAAACGGCAACTTTTACGGTAACTTTTGCCATTTTTGTGGCAACTTTTGGCAACTTTCGGACAAAAAAATGGCAACAAACGCAGATGCTACTAAATCTTAGTTGAGGATTTTTTTAACGACAGCATATCAAGAAGTCGTCAATGTATAACGAGCTGTCTATGCCATTTTGGAGGGTTTTTAGGATGGAATCTGTTTTGATTTCAAATAGGAGAGGGATCCTCCCCTGTGGGACACTTTCCTCACGTTGGTGGGGGTCTGAAAGGGAGGATCCGACATGAAACTGGAAGGAACGGCACTTCAGGAAATTGCCAATGAAGGCAGAGAGGTCCTGTCGCGTATGCCGAGAGTGTGCAAGTCTCTAAAAATTCTGTATTTCCAGGTTGTGTCGAAGGCTTTTTCTAGGTCGAAAAGGATGGCGATCATGTGGCCTCCTTCATCAAACGTCTCGTGATAAAGGTCTCCAGGCGGACCAGGTGATCCAGAGTGAATAGAGTTTTCCTGAATCCGCTTTGGAGACCGCTCAGCAAGCCCGTCGTCTCCATAAACCACATGAGTCGCCTTTGGATCATTTTTTCTATAAGTTTGCACACACAGACAGCTTGTTAGTGAGCTGCTGTTAGTCTGTAATTGGATGGGTGTGTGTGGTCTTTGTTTGGTTTTGGTATTGGAATGACAGTGGCGAGACGCAAAGACTCCAGAAAGGAGTGCTACCGCCACATGTCGTTGTATGTCAAGTAGGAGTGTAAGTGTTTCTATCTGTGGGTAAGTGTGTAACGATCTGGTTGTGGATGTCATCCTGTCCCGGAGCAGTACTGCCCAGGTCCGAGATGCACGATGGATAGTTCATCTTATGTGAAGTCTGCGTTGTAGGTTTCAGTGTTGTTCGAGTGGAAGTTTAGTTTAGGTGTTGTTCTCTGTTAGTGTTAGTTTTGATGTTTTGGAAGGTGGTGTTGTAGTTTGCTTGGGATGAGATTTTGGCGAGAGATGTAGCTATTGTGTTTGCGATGTCTCTCTGTTTCAGCTGTGGTTCCATCCGGCCTCTGGACGTGCTGGATGGTGTCTGTGCGTCTACCTAAAATTTCTTTAGCGATTTTAAAAACTTGGTTGAGTGGTGTCTGACTGTTTATTTTGGAGATGTATTTTCTAAACGATTGTCTTTTGCTCTCCCTGAGGCATCTACGTGCTTCAGCTCGAGCTTTTGGGTAATTAATTTTGTTTTCAGTGGTGGTGTTGTTGACGGCTTTTCCACATATATATAGGCTGCCTTCTTTTTCTTTATTGCATCATCACAGTCCCGGGAGAAACAGATCTTGTTCTTCCAGGGTTTTGGAGATGTTTTTGGTATTGTTTGTGGCATATTTCTAGAAGCTTTTCGTGAAATTTTTTGTAGTTGAGATCAAAAGTGGGATTCAGAATCTGGGAACATTTAGTGGCTAACCCGTCCCAGTGTGCTCTTTTGAAGTTAAAGCATTCTGGGATCGGATCGTTTTGGAGGCTAGTGTTTTTTAGAAGAATTGGGAAATGGTCTGTACGGTCATCCAGCACAGACCACTCAAGATCTGGGACTAGGTCTGGGGTACGAAAGTAGAGAGGTCAAGGGATGAAGAGCCAAAAGTGGATCTGTTTCTGTAAGTTGGGGACCTATCATTTAATAGGAAGATGTTATTTCGAAATAAAAAATCTTCTAAAGCTAGTCAACAAAAATTAAGGAACATTTGGGAAAAAGTGTATAACTTCGAAAACAAACTTCAACACGCAATGAAATTTGGTACACATTTTAATCAACATGTGTATAACAAATAACAAAAAAGAAAATTAAGTTATTCCATTTTAACTTGCTTGGAAAGTTAATTGAGTTTGGTAGGGGTTAAAATCCCAAATCACAAAATTGTCAAGTGGTTTCAAAGTTATTTTAACTTCTGACTACAACAAAAACAAAACAGTTCAGATGATTTCAATAAAGAGTATGCCCACCACCATTGTCCTGGCACCCAGTACACCGGCTCCTCATCGAGTTCATGAGGTTAGTGAACACTCTCTGAGGCATCCCCTTCCACTTTGCCTACAGCATCTGAAACAGTTGCTGTGCGTCTCCTGTAGGGGGGGAGGTGATTGTCTCTGACTCGACGTTGCAGCTCATCCCAGAGGTTTTCTATGGGATTCAAGTCCGGACTGCAGGCCGGCCAGTCCATTCGGTTGATGCCAGCCTGCTGCTTGAAGTTTTGGACAAGCAACGCTCTATGAGGTAGGGTGTTGTCATCCTGGTACACCGCGTATGGCCCCATCTGTTGCAGGGCAGGTAGTGCTAATGGAGGGAGTACAGTGGAATCCTGTTATAACGAGAGGGAGGGGACCAAAGCAAAATGTCCGTTATAACAGGATTCTCGCTATACGGGATCCAGTAATAAATTCAAGGGAAACTGTAAAGTAGGCCTAATCTATGAGTTTGGTGTTCTGTTTCTCCTTTTGCTATCTCCCTTGATGATGATTTTGTTTCAACATGACCTCTAGGTCTTACTTGATCAAAAATCGAATCAGGGTTGGTTCTCTAGATCTAGCGATGTGGACTGACAACTCGGCGTTGGCGATCAGAAAGAAAGGGCTCTGGGCTAACTCGCCAGCTGTGTCCTCCCTCCCCCCCCACCCCCACCCTATGGTGCATTCTGACACATTCGCTCCATCCATCACATTGCTGTGACCTCTCCATCCCCACATCGGAGAAGTGAGAGGCATGGCAGGCCTTGATAATCTAAACTGGCCTATCACGCGATGCGCTCTGCTTGTCTGCGCATGCCACACCCTCCTTACTCAGTTGCTCGGGCCTTCATTGTTGACGCACATGGGCTCTCCTATTCTTTGTTTCGCAAGATCAGCAACAAGTTTCTCAACTAGCGAGGTCTAGCATTATTTATGTATAATTGGCCTATGCCATGTGCACAGCAGCAGAAATATTCCGCTATAACCGACTTGCAAGTGTGTCTGAT